AACTCGTTAAAAAACACAAGAGAAGCTGGATAAGATATGATAAGATCTTTACGATACGAACAAAGCTGAAAAAAAAATAATAATAATACATTTATTTATTTCAAGCTCCCACTAAACTTTGACAAAATAAATGCGATTTTGATTTCGATTTCGTTTTTCATTCATTTTTAATTTGCCAAATACATTTGTATTTTATTTTTAATTTGAATAAATGTTTTTCGTTTTTGTTGTTTTCTATTTTCGAAATATTTTGACCTACTTCCGTTTGCTCAGAAATGTTGGCTAAAACCGTTTATGCTAAATATGAACATGTAAATATTCCAAGTTCTTATTAAAGACTTTTATTATACATTTATGGCTGGTTTTATATTTTACGCGTATTTTGATAAATGACGCATGGTGGAGAATATACGTAAGCCGATGGAATATATGAATGTATTCATATTGAATACAAATTCAATATACTCATTCACTTTGAAGTAAGTCTTTATGGAGTATATGGATCTTATGTAATCGGATTCTTGCAGCATTTTTATATACATATATTACTTTTTATATGTGATAACTTAAACTTTGTGCACGCTATATATCTATCAGGCATTAAGACTTGGATCTGTGCATATATAGACGTGAGTGACTATATCTTGTACAAGATCAAATCTGTAGAGTATAATTATTTTCATTCATATCTCTTCATTCACAGTGCTTCAAGTGCTAGGCTAATCTCTGCTTACGCCTTCTAAGGGCGTGGCATATGAGAACAATCATGTCGTCTTCATAAATTTAGCTCTGCTTGTACTATGAGCCAATCAGTACAATCTGCTACTAGGCACTTCTTAATTTTTGGAATCTAGATATAAATGAGTCAATATACAAGCACGCACACAAATACTCTCACACTGCACTTACTCAAACATACATATGGGGCTGCATGCGTAGCCTGATGTATCTCCTTCGTATCCGCATTGATCTTTGAAGAAAAATGGTTTTTGCAGCTTGCGTGCTGCTTGTGCCTCGTGTTAAGCTGTTGCAGTTGCCGCTGCTGTGGCTACTACTGTGTGGCTGACATGTCGATAGGGATCAATGTTTAGCTGGTCTCACTTTTTCTCAATTTCATGTGCGCGCCCCTCACTCTCCACAGTGCGTGGCCCATCTGGGTGTCTCCCTCTGGCACAGGTGGCCATGATTTGGGGCGTTGCCAACAGGCAGCAGCTCGGTTGCTGCTGTGCCACTTACACAGGCCACGCGTATGAGTCACTTATTTAACGCTTTATTATGTGCTTAAATATCCTATATACTCGTATATATGTATATACAGATAATCCGCATATGGCTTACTTGTTCTTTCTTTCTTTTGGGTGGCGCGAAGAGTGCTTGGACTTTTGCTTGTCAATGCGCGACGTCTTTGATAACTAATTGCTGCGGCGCCAAATGTTTCTCCACTGTCTCGCTGCAGTTCTTTCACTCTCTCTCTCCCTCTCCCTCTCTCTCGTGGTAAGAGACCCCCCTCTCACCATCATCGTGTTGTCTCGTGCGTATAATAAAAGTCACGTCGTTACCGTTTGCTCGTTTATAAGGGTCACTCTGCCGACTCTCTCTGCATGTGTATGTGTGCATGTATGTGTGTGTGTGTGGGGGCTCAACTATAGACTTAAGTGTGTGTAAAGGTGTGTGTAATGACTTCTACAGAAAAATTTGTAGCACTCGCCAATGAGCTGGGCAGGAAGCCCTGTTGCAGCGTGTCACATGCAACACACAAATGCAAAAGTGAGCAATTATGGCAACAAGTTAATTACGAATCCAGTGGCGGCAACCACAACAACAACAATAACAACAACAGTACAAGCAGCAGGAACAGTCACAGATGGACAAGCTCCACATGGGCTGCATAGGACCCCAAGGAATTCGCTGCTGTACTGCAGCTGCAGCGCCAATTTCAGCGTTAATTTAATTTATGCAGACGGACAAACCAACCAACAACAACAACAACAACAACAACTGCAGAATTTCAATCGGCAAAAAAAGAAGAAACAACAACAACAACTTTTAGGAAAGGCATTTTAAATTTTACATGAAGGCAAAGCGCAGCTCTTGAAAGTGTGCCAGGTCGCAAGGGGCAGACGTAGCGGTACAGGCTGCATGCCACAGCATCGGCAACAGCATCAGCATTTGGCGTACATGTAACGCATGTGTCATTCATTTGCGAGTGTCTACAATTGATGAATAGCATTTGTTTCCATATGTCTATTGAATGCCATGAAAAACGTAAAGAAACCTTTATTATATGCACCAGTTTTATATTTAAGTAAACTATGTATATATATAAAATATCACGTCATATTGAAATCTGTAATTGCAAGGAATTTTATTCAAAGAACTCAACCGCATGAATGAGGCGTAAAACTAATTTTATAGCGAAAATATTTTCAAATATAGATTTTGAAGTGGGTCAGCTCAAGCTGTCTAAATTTAGCTAGAAATTTTATTGGGAACGATAAATTGACAACTTTGCCATAGCGTGAATAGCAAATAAATGGAGCTTCGCATCTGGTTTTGATTTGTTTTTGTTGGGCTTAAGCTTAACTTATGTTTCGTTAGCCAAGTTCGTTGCCTAAGTCTTTTGTTTGGGGTGATTGAATTTATTAAATTAACTTTATGTTGTTTCTCACAATCGCCGATGATGACGACGGCGACGATGATGATGATGTGTATCGCTCTTTAAAACATAGATGTTAGGCAATCTGTTAGATAAGGGCCAAGCCACGAATATTCATAAAGCATTTATGTAAATGTAAATAATAAATGAAAAACTCTTCAATTTGCCGGTCTCAAGCTGGTTGTGAATTCTTCAAATGTAATTAAATTCTGCATGTAAGCATTTCTTATAACATTTTTTGCTTTTGTAATTTTCTCTGCACTCAATTTTTTTCAAAAAATTTTTTTTCAATTTGTTTCTTCAGTTTTTCCGTTTTGTAGGGGTAAAAAAAAAATTGTTCAATTTTGCAAAGTTTAATCAAAGTGGCGCTAATTAGTTTGAGTCGTTTGGATAATTGCAAATTAAACGCAAAGTTAATTGCGCCGACACACGAAACACACTCACACACACACACACACAGACATGCAATTACGTATGCAGCAACAACAACATTTGGTTTATAGCGAAAACAAAAAAGCAGCAGCCGTTGCCGTCGTCAATGCTCGTGTATCTTAAAGCTGCTGTTGCTGCTGTTTGAATTGTTATTGTTGTATTTTGTTATTCTCGTTGTGGTTGTTGTCGTTGTTGTTGCAGAGCAGTCCTCATTGCTCATGAAAAACAATTAAGTTGTGTTGAAGTTAAATTGAATTAAAAAAGCGTTTTTTATCGAATGTTTGCGCAAATGAAATGCAGCCACAAATAGAGATGTTAGCCGGGGTTAGACCCCCCGTTGCATAGGAGAAGAGGATGAAGAAGAAGAACAACATAAATAATAATAAATAAGTAAGCAAGTTAAGCACAAATAGAAACAGAAAAGAAAAAAAAAAACATTAGCAACAAACACGCTTTTGTCTACAAAAGCTCATCACCAGCTAGATTCTATAGAGAGGTAGGGTGAGATCGGCGATGGGGAGGGGGGACGAGTCGATGGGAGGCCATATGATTTGATCGTAATTAAAATGCAGTCTTTTAATGTCAGCGTTAATTAGTCGCCTTAATTAATGATTATTAATATCGGTTGTTGCCCGATATTTTGTATCACATTTCTCAGCCTCTGGCTGTATGTATATCGTTCTCTGGCAGTCGCCCTGCCACCTGCGTCCCGCCTCCTCCAGCCCGAACTTGATTATTATGCAAATTAACGGTTAGCCTTTGCATTTGACGAACTCATTGAAATGCATGAAGCGTTGCCACATCGGAGGAGAGACCCTTGAGGGCTCCGCTGGTTAAACATGATTATCACAGTTCCACCTTTTGATGCCAATTACCATGCAATGTGGCCCGTTTTTTAGGGCCATCTTTCACAGCCAACCACAAATATCAGGTAATCGAATTAAGCCGCTTCGTGTTTTATAAATGTTATCATAAATATTCCATTTTATTAATTACCACGCATAATTCAAACCAAAATTAAAAACACAATGACCAAAAACAAGAAGAAAACGTGAGCAACAGCCTAGGCGGTCGTAATTGCCTAGCAGGATACCCTATGCAAAATTATTTATTTATTTATATAAGCCCTAGGGCTGTTTATTTAAAATAAAATATGATAAATTGTGTTATGTTCGTCGCCTAAGTCTTTTGATATCGAAAAATGTACTATCGATCTATATTCTAACATTATTATTTTCAACATTTAGATTTCCATTCCAATTAAATAGGAAAAAATTTGCTGTGCACAGAGGAAGTTCGTTGCCTAAGTCTTTCGATTTTGCAAACATGACTTTTTGATTTTTTAGTAGCTGGAACATATACTAGACAATGGCATACCGCTTGTTCAGCTCTTTTACAGGGTATACAAAGAAAGATTCACAAACAAGAGAAATCGCTAAGCGGCGTTCGACATTCGTTTTTCGATTCATTCGATACCTACGTTTCATTGGGCTGGCTCTCATTAACATACTTAATTTGTTTCTAATTTATTCATAAATTTATATTTGTAGCACCCGCCCGGCCTGTATTTTTGTTTCTCTTTGTATTCTCTCCCTCTCTCTCTCTCTCTCCCGCTCACTGTCTTTATTTTTGGCCAGCGCTGATTTATGTACAGTCCGCTGATTAATGGCAGCTGACCTGGCTGGTAGCTGTTTGCCCGGTTGTGAATCAGTTGTTGGCTCTGTTAGCGCTCGCTCCTAAGTAGGTGTTGTTACGCACATTAGGGCCAGGCCATTTGTGATGCCCGGCTTAAATACAATTTGTTGGGCATTAACTGATTTTGATGAAACACTAAAAATAGAGAGGAAGAAAGAGATAGAGAGAGACAGAGCGAAAGAGATAAAAATAGTAAGAGATGGAGGGAGAGGATTTATTTCTGTGTATATCACAAACACTTTGACGTCTGTGCTTGATTTTATTAATGGAAAATCCGTGAATTCTTTTACAAACATAAGATGCAAGGTCCGTTTTCGAATAACTTAAGGGCTTAGAACTACAGTTAACCAATTGAATTATATTGCTGCTTGGCTAGCTAACCACATCGCCACTGTGGCCATTCTGCCGCAGCAGCTCCAGCTTGAGTTCGTGCTCGCGCGCTTTAAGCCGCAGCGCAGCTATGGACGAGGTGCGTCGATCCTCGGGCGGCGTGGCGGATCGTGTTGGCTGCGCCAGCTGCCGTTGCGGTGAGTGCGAATGCGAATGCGTATGTGAATGCGAGTGCGAGTGCGCGTGAGCCAAGGTCAGGGCGACAGGCGCCGTTTGTGTGGGCGAGCCGGCGGGCGGCGCCTGATGCGTCAGCGAGATGCCAACTAGCTGCTGTGGCGACAGCTGCGCCGGCGGTGGGGGCGGTTGCTGCGAGGGCGTCACTGGCGCCGACTGCGACAGCTGCGAGCTGGGCGAGTTGGGCGGCGAGGCCATCATATGATTGTTGGGCGAATGCATATCAGGCGAGCCCACCAGCATCGGCGGCTTGGCGGCCAGGGTGGGCATGGGCGGCGCACGGCTATGCGGCACAGCCGTCATATTGGCCAGCAGCGACTGAAAGGAGCTCGAGGGCGAATACATCGATGCCATGCCCGGCGGCAGCATGTGCGGCGGTGCACTGCAAAGGGCGAACGTTAAGCTAACAGAAATAAAAGGCTACGCTGTGCAAATAACTTACCGCTGGAACTGATTGAAGTAGCCGGATGGTATCATTGGAGCCGCCGACAAGTGCGGATAGCGAAAGGCGGCCAAATTGGCGGGCGAATCGAATGGCTTACGCAGCTGGAAGCCCAAATGGGTAAACGGATTGGGCGGCAGGGCGGCACCCACCACAGTTTGCATGCTCGCCGCGCCGCTGGGCAGATACGGATTGTATGGATGTGACTGAGGTCCAACCTTCTCCTGCTTGCGCCACTTGGCGCGCCGATTCTGGAACCAGACCTGCAACAACAACAACAACAACCACCGGAGGAGGGAAGAGTTGAGACTGAGTTGAGTTATGTGTTTCATGCAGGCTACTGTGTCCTGCCAGCTTCTGTGGCAGTCAATTAATGGGCGTGACTATTGAAAACGCCCATTTAATTAGTTTTTAACATAACAATCTGAATTCGTGTCGAGAACGGTGGCTGATTGCAGCCAGTACCAGTCACCGTCACAGTCCAAGTTGGAGCTGAAGTCGAAGCTGAAGTCTGAAGTGGATGCTGGACTTTTGAGCGTGTGTGAGTCCCTTTGGGACCTGCTCTGGCAATTACCGCTAGAAAATGTTCGTAAGCAAATAATGTTGTTTAGCATGAGCGGTAATTAAAAACCAGATCAAAGCCATGCCCCAAAACCGGATCAGCTCCCATAATGACTGGCACTAAAATTGGTTAGCAAGTGAATTTCCCCAATCCCATGCCCTAATCTATGGTGCTTGGGCGCTGGGCGTTTTCGGTCTAGAAGTGTTTTCATTAGGGTCGACATGCTCCATTATTTTTCAATTTTCAACATTGTTAACTCCGTTTGAAGCACGCGAATTGAACTAAACCGCACAATTGTTTAGGCGATTAGGGTGCTGGGCTTTTACCTGAATCCGCGCCTCGGTTAATCCAATTTTCATCGCCAGCTCTTCCCTGTAAGGAGTGGAGAAAAAAAAACATGATTTACAAACGATTAAGCATGAGAAGGTTTACGGCTTTCATACACAAAAACAATCAAGTATCATGTTATTCAATTAATTTTAATGCTCAAGTAATGGGGTTATTAAGAGAAATTATCTGCAATTGGGAACACCGGAATTTGTCTTGTCTTATTATATTGCAATAGAAATTAATCCACTTTGATTCAGATTCTAAGGGACTGACTTTAAGCAGATTTATCAAACAATTGCCTAACAGAAGCTAAACAAAAGATTAACTTAACCTCTCTCTTCAATTCTCATTATATGTTAACTAGCCAAAGCCTAAGCTTTACTAACGCCTCTAGTCTCATTTCTATTACAGTTAATTAGACAACTGTTGCCGCTCTATGTGATTCTCATACCAATCAATCTGGGTAAGTGTAAACACTCTGATTTAGTTGATTAATTAATAGTGAAGCATTTAAACTGGTTGCATTAATGAAATGTAAACTCGCCGACTGTCTACAAAAAGTTGCTGTAATTGTTGTTATTACAATTTCCTTTTTTTTTATTTTTGTAGTTTTATTTATTTATTTTTTATTTTGTGCAATTYCCATTAGCGTTTGGCTGTAGACGGTTCTGGTTGTTTGGCCGGTCAGTTAGAGGCGGGCCTCTAATTTATGGCAATTATTATAGCAGTTTTTACATATCTTGTTACATTTCTGCATGTTAATTGAATTTGCTTGTACCCTAGGGGATCTCAATTGGCACTGATTTGAAAGATCTGTGGAGCGTAATTCGAAACCCAGCTCCAAATAGCTTGGGCTCAACTCACAAGGGGGTCATATCATATGCATGTCATAGGCGTATTCACCATATACATCAGGCGTATAAAAGCCACATTAAACTTTCGATGCTGCAAACTCACTAGAGAATCGATTTATGTAAATTTCGTTTATTTTCTTTTATCTTTGGTCATTATGCTTCACACTCACCTCGTAAATACGTCGGGGTAATGGGTGCGCGAGAAGGCCTTCTCCAGCTCCTCCAGCTGAAAGCTGGTGAATGTGGTTCTATACCTGCGCTGCTTGCGCTTGGGCGCATATTCGTCCGCCTCGCAGTCGCTGTTGGGGTCCGAGATGGGGCTGTTGGTGCCGCCGCTGGCGCCGCTAGGCACCGCACCAGAAGCTGAGACCGCGGCTGATGCCACACCACGTTCGGCCACGGCATCCGGATGTGGGTGTGCTAGCTTGGCTTCTTGCGGTAGTTCCTCCAGCTTGACCTCCTCCGATATGCCCATAATCCAAAAGCCAGCAAGTCGGCCAAGTTACCAGCGGGCAGCTGCGCATGGCACATAGGCGGAGGGTCGAGAGAGTAAAAAAATGTACAGCAAATTAGTCTCACATTAGAAGCTCGTAATTCAATCATAACTAAACATGTAATTATCGTACACTTTATTACGCCAATTTCTATAATTTTCAATAGCCATGAAGGCTCCAAGTAGACGCAAAGGTTAGTTGCGGTTTCGCTTTGCTTTCAATAATTACACTAGACAGCAGACAAATTGAGCACTTGATAGGTGGCGTAGTTATAGTATCGAACTAAAGTGCAAATCAAACTATAAATTCTCTTAAAATCATTGAGACAACGGTATTTAGTTGAAAATAGCATGGCAACACAGTAAAGTTACGCTTGCAGCTAGTTGTCTCTTTCTTTCTCTCTCGCTTTCTCTGCCTGTCGGTCACTGGATTTCAAGGCCTTCTCTCTTTCCCTCATATACTCTCGTTCCGATCTCTTCCACTTACAGATCATCTCTGTACCCCTGACTCTCTCTCTCTCTCTCTCTCTATCTCTATCTCAATCTCGCTGCCTAAGACACACTTTTCTCTATTGTGAGTGTACATTGCAAATGCTCTCTGATTCTTTTTCTCTATATCTGCCTCTATCTTTTTCTGTATCAATCCCTCCTCTCTGTCTTTTTCTTTCTCTCAATATATATTGCAATACTAAATTAAATGAAAAGTCAATTTACGCTTGATATTAGCAAGTAAATTTTCAGACCACCTTCTCTCTCTCTCTCTCTCTCTCTCTCTCTCTCTCTCTATCGTTCAATCTCTCTCCTTCTTTCTCTTTCTCCCTCTCTTTCTATTCATAGCTTGATTTAATTTAGCATTTATATATATTTGTATTGTATATCCATACATATTCAAAAAGCTTCCATTACCCTGTTATATAGTGTTGTTAGTGGCTGCGCTGTATTGTGGTCTAGCCGCGTGCCTTATGATCGTGGTCTGAGCAACAGCAACAGCAGCAGCAGCAACAGCTGTAGCAGCTGCTCAGTCAATGCAAATCGATGGCATCAGCCGTCAGACTTTAGTCAGCCAGACAAACACTTGGGCACATCGAACTCAGCTGATCTATCATCAACACGTTTTCGCGAGCTGCGTTTATTTTGCTGGCCATTTCATGTGCAGATCGTTTGGAATTTTAATTAAATTGGGCGGCAACTTCATTTTCATCATCATCAGCGGCTGGCAGAGCAACCGCAACCGGAGTTGGTTTGGCTACCCGCTGGTCAGTTGACCAGTTGACCAGTGGATCAGATCAATACCTGCATATCAGGTGGCAGGGTTGGGTTGAATTTCCTCATACGGCATTTTGTTAATTTTCAACATTTTTGTTAATTTCATGTTTTGCTAATTAATATACAATGTGCCCTAATGACAATTAAATAAATGGTTAGCTCCAAATTGGAAAATGTCATGCCGCACTGTCTCCAAGTTTTAAGACTTCACTACTTCGGACTTTTCATTTTTTGTTTTTCTGTTTTCAATGTTGTTGTTTTTTTTTTTTTTTTTCTTTTTTCTCTCTCTTCACTCTGTTGTCCATGCCGGGTGCTTCAATGGCTGCTTGATTGATGGCCCCGTCCTTATGTTGGCGTTGTCTTCGCTGCTACCGTTGACATTTCGCCTCGGCCCTGGCTGAATACATATATCAAAATTGTCCAAATACCTTGTTAAATGGCAAATTAGTGTGCTTCTGATTGATTTAGTTGCATTCTTGCGACGAATGAAGTTGCAACCGCTGCTGCAGACAACAAACATCATCATCATCAACAACAACAACAACAGCTAATACATCATTAATGGGCACAACACAATTATCATTGTCCACTGTGTTGCCATGTCATTCCTTGTGGCAACTTGCAAGTAAGGGCATTCCCACTTTTTTAGGTAATTTGTCAAGACAGTAGAATAGAATTATAGAGGTCGATCATTCTATCATCTAACAATAGGCAAGTAAATAATCGAAGTTATGAAGAAAAAAGCACATAAATTCTAAATTTAATTGTAATTGTATTTCAGTTCGATTATTCTCAATTATCGATAGGTAAGCAAGCTATCGAAGTTGTCCAGAAAAATTCACATAAAATCTAGAAAACTATTCGATTCGCTTGTAATGATTTTAGGCTTAAAAGAAGTATTTTTTATTACTTATAAATTTTACTATTGGTAAATGCTAAGATGCCAATAAAATCGATAATTATCGAACGACAAGTCATTAATCTCAACGTATAATTATAATTAAATAATTAAAACAATTTAATTACTGATATTTATGAGAAATTCATTCCATTTCATTTTTAACTAATAAAATGTTACCTATGCCAATACCCATTTATATAAAAAGTTGATTTATCTGTGGTATTAGCATTTGCATAAATTATCGCAGCACTAAATACATTTGATTTCTGCTCTCAGCTTCAATCGGATTTCCCTTGCCATTCAGTTTGCAGTTGATTTAACTCGTTTTTTGCTGCATTGTTAGAGCAGTCGATATTCGCTATGGGCTCCCAATTCGAGTTTTTATTCGTGTAGTTATTTTTGTACACACATACATCCGTCAGTTCATAACTCATTTCTCATCATTAATAACTTTTATTATGATTCGCACTGTCAGTTTTCAATGTTGTTAACAAATTCCGCGCATTGACAGCTGACAAACTTAATTTGTGTAAGACTCGGCTGCAAATTATTAAATTAGTTGTACGAATTGCAATTATGCTCACGATGAAGAAGGAGAGTGAAGTAGAGGGAGGCACAGCAAGGGAGGGAGAGTGTGAGCGAGTGAGAGAGTAGTGGAGGTAGTTAGAAGCAATGCCAACCCCCACATACTCACCTGTCTAATCACACAACATCAAGATCATAAAATAGTGCTGATTAATTCATTGCATGCGAACTGTATCTCAGACTACTGTGTGTAGATGCAGTGCCAGTACAGTAGATACTCGGCTCAACAAAAAAAAAAAAAAAAAAAAAAAAAAAAAAAAAAAAACGCTGAAGTGTTCGGTCGGTTCGCTGAGTTATGTGGGGAATGTGTGCCGTTTGGCTTTGTTGTCGTACCGCCTTATAATTGTAAACGCGTTACGACTTTATTATTGGAGGNTAACTTTTATTATGATTCGCACTGTCAGTTTTCAATGTTGTTAACAAATTCCGCGCATTGACAGCTGACAAACTTAATTTGTGTAAGACTCGGCTGCAAATTATTAAATTAGTTGTACGAATTGCAATTATGCTCACGATGAAGAAGGAGAGTGAAGTAGAGGGAGGCACAGCAAGGGAGGGAGAGTGTGAGCGAGTGAGAGAGTAGTGGAGGTAGTTAGAAGCAATGCCAACCCCCACATACTCACCTGTCTAATCACACAACATCAAGATCATAAAATAGTGCTGATTAATTCATTGCATGCGAACTATATCTCAGACTACAGTGTGTAGATGCAGTGCCAGTACAGTAGATACTCGGATCAAAAAAAAAAAAAAAAAAAAAAAGGAAAAAAAAGAAAAAACGCTGAAGTGTTCGGTCGGTTCGCTGAGTTATGTGGGGAATGTGTGCCGTTTGGCTTTGTTGTCGTACCGCCTTATAATTGTAAACGCGTTACGACTTTATTATTGGAGGATGGAACTGGAACTGGAACTGGGATTTTAGCTGGGATTGCAAGTGGGGCTGGGCAGGAGCCGAAGGAGGCAGTTGATCCAAACAAACATCAAAGTCTTTCGGGCTGATTGACGCCGGTAATTAAAAAACTTTTCAGTCAAACTGTCAACCCACTCGAGCGTCTGCACGTATTAGCTCTTGGCCATGTTTTGTGGTATTTGGTGCTCATGGCTTTATTTACGAGCTTGGCCAGAACTAATCAAGTTAGCGCTGCGCAGCTGCAGATAGTGCGATTTCCCACTATGGTCAATTGGCCATAGCCTTGTTGAGCGTTTCAGGCGGGCCGGGGGCCTTGGCTTGTCGTGCCTAACTGTTTGACATACTGTGGCGACTGTCTTGCTTAGGGCTCACATGCTAATCAAGTCAAGCGCCAGTCGCAGGACTGAGTTTTCCAGTCTGCAGTCTCAGTCTTTCGTACTCAGTCACTCAGAGTGTCAGTCACTCTGTCTATCAGTCAGTCCGTCAGTCAGTCAGACTGCAGCAGCAGCAGCTGCTGCTGCTTCTTCTTCTTCGTCTTCAACGTCATCATGCTGGCCAGACTTGTTTGCGGTTGCTTGTTTCGTTTAGAGATAAGCTCCATTAGTGTCTGGAAATTATTTAAGAGCAACTTTTGCTGCCAACATTGAGAGAGCTGCGTGTGGGTTTCCAAGTTCATGATGCTCTGTGCGGCAAGTGGAAAAGAGGCATATTGGTTTTGTATCTTATTATTCAACGACTTGGGTATCTTGCGTACTCGTTGAGGTATACGTAGGGAAGTATTCCCCCAAGTAACTCGCCAACTTTGATTTCATATTGAGCAGAGCATTGGGCAACCTCATACACCCGACTGCAACACGCTTTGTTGTTTTATATATGCACTTTATTTCTGCTGCCCTCCGACAAGTGCAGAAATTAAGAAATTAATTCCTAATAACAACCTGGCGTACTCTATATGTTGCGGTACAGCAGCACAGTTCCATAGGGTCCTCCTGCTGTCATCTCGATAAGCATCAATGTTTTGCTCTGTTCTCGCATCCATTCGCTTCCCCTCAAATGCCTCCTGCGCCCTGCCCATCTGCCTGCTGTGCTGAGCCATGTCGCTTGGTGTCGTTTTTATGGCTGCACTTTTGTGTTCCACGCTCCTGATGCGGTGGACTGCAACTGGGACTCGCATATTTCATTAAATGGAGAGCAAGGTAAGGCGAGGCGAGGCGAGGCAAGGCAAGGCGAGCCGAGACGAGACAAGTCGCTCGAGTCGATCGACTACAGGTAGAGCAGCCCAAACAGAAGCTCATTTCTGGCATTTTGTTAATGCGTCTGCCCGGTCCACTTGGCTCGCTCTGGTATCTGCTGCAGCTTATTTATGGGTTTACATTAGGCTAAACCACTTTAGTCACACTTTGATGATCAGCATTGTAATACCCTCTCGGGCAGCCAACTGATAATGGCGAGCTTTTTGGGTGGCGCCTGCTCGAAAAGCTCAAGCTCATCATATTAATAAAGGTGTGTGGTCCAGTCGCCCTCAAATGAAGTTGATGGATTAGAGATGCACAAAGAGAGAGGCAACCCACCTGCTTTGTCTTTCATTTTACATACTTGATAAAGTCAATTATTAATTTCACATAAGCGCAGACAAGCGACAATTTCGTGAGTCACCCAAAAAACATAAAAACGATAGCCAGCGCAGAGGCCAGAGGCGAAGAGGGACTGTGTAGCCAGGGCACAGGCTGCACCTGAGCTGCTGCTGCGGCTGCGGCTGCGGCTGTTGCTGCTTGTGTTGGCGCCGGCTTTGGACGCGCCAGGTGCGATAAGGCAGCATTCTTCTTGTGCCCCAGACGCCGGCAGAGAGTCACAATGCCATCGGTACCTTATGGACCTCTAATGCACACACACACACACATACACACACACACATACACATATATATATTCACAATTATAATTAGTTTATTCATATCCTGTGTCGAAGCCTCAGCAACCTCATTTGTTGATGGGGCAATCTTAATTCAATTTACTGCTTATCAACAAAATTCTGACCGACTCATGTATACTCTTACAAGAACCAAAAAATATGTTGGACAAAAAAGTTTAGATTTTTTGTTTGTTTTAAAGTCTACGACATTCAAGCAATTACTACAACAACAATTACAAATCGTCACTGCTCAATCTTTTCACTTTAGTTGATATGCTTTGTACTCTACTAATCAGTTTTCCCTATGGTCACTTTAAGTTTCCTTAAATATGAAATCTAATTTAATTTCGGATATTTTCATTATATACAGAAATATTTAGTAAAATTTCTTTCTGGTAGCCATGGGAGCCTTTAAGTTAAATTTATGGTAGTAAAATATATCAAAATTCAGTTAAGAGTATTTGTTTCTCGTTGAAGCATGTGCAGGTTTTCCCTTTCTTGTCTTTCTTTGCGCCTTGGCCACCCTAATGGCTGAGTTGTTGACGGTAGCCAAAGGTAGTCGTCGACGCAGGTTCCGAGCCGTGACTCAGGTCCAGACGTACCGAGCTGTTGATGTGGATGATGCGAGACCAATTACTCATAAAATGCATGTTAAAAACGTTGACCAAGGAGCTGGACGAAGCGAGCAGCGAGCGAGTGAGTGAGAGGCAGGGGGCAGGCGGCATGAAGCTGTGTAGTCGAACAACTGTTGTTCGACGCCTGGCGCTGACTTTCTGTTTTGTTGTTGTTGCTGGCCAAGCTTAGTGATGCTGAGACAGCGTCAGCGACTGAGACTGAGACTTGGACTTGAGCCAGGGCGACTTGGTGCATCCGTGTTTCCGCCCTTTGTCATTGTCTTGTACGTTTTGATAAGCGACGGAGAGCAATTTGGGAACGCGTCTGAGGTTGATATTTCATGCATGTTTGCATGTTCCATTTGGGACCGGACTCTGGATTTGGATTTGGCTTGAATTAATGAAGCATATACGCATAGCTCTCAATGAGCTGGGTTCGAGCCTTGGCGCCAACTGTTATCGCCGCCCAAAAGCCGAGCGTGGGCGTAAACCATGCCGCGTTGTGTTGCATACTTGTCTAGTCAACGCCTCTTTGGTAGCGCTTTCGACAACTGGAATTGGGAAATGTGATCATACCCAGTACGAAGTTTGATAGATAGCAGCCACTGTATCTATTAGATACGAACTGCAGAGAGCGAGACTGAGACGCTATCTGTGGACAAGTTTTAATTGTGTGTTGGCCTAATTGAATTGAGCTGCAAATATGTCGAATACCATTTTGGCATCGAAACATATTTTAATTTACCCAAAATCGAAAGAAACAAAACAATCTATCTAATTAGATGTGAAGATCTGTGGAGGCACTCGTTATCTCCTGCTGATGCTTGCTCAGAGATAGGGCAGCCAGTTCGATTTGCGTCACAGCTAAACGAAATTGAAAATTGGTTATGACAAGTCACATGCGCATTATTATTAATTAAATCAGAGCTAAGAAGTTGATCGATTATCGCCAGGAAACCGAAACTCTTCAATACGGAAAGAAACGGAACGGTGCGAAACGGAAGGGAAATACGAATTGACGTGACGTTGATATGACTGACTGGGACTTATCTGAACGCTAGTATTGTACTAGTATTACCCGACTGACCCAAGCATATCTCGAGTCCATACCGATATTTCAACGAGCTTTTTGACATGATTATCTCGGCGAGATAAGCGTGGGCAGTTAATTTCATTTATTTGGTAGGTGTACACATATGTACGAGTGGAAATTTCATTGCTTTGATTAGCGAACACTTTGAAAACATCACAATGACAAAACGTGATTTATTTACCATCGGCTCAGACGCTGACAATATTTTGTACTCTTTTAATGGTGTTTAATTAAAGCCAATCAGCGATAAGCCCATCGACCTATCAGCATGTGGCATAGCCCATAAATACACCTAGACTATGCAGCTAATGAAAAATAATGAATAATAATAATATTCTGTCGATTGCTTCGGCCAGTTAAGCTCCGTGCTCGTACAAGGCGATATGATATGTCCAAGTGAATTAATCAAATTTAATGATATTTAATTTACGTTTTCTTAGTTAAATTTTGGAATGAGCCAGCGTACGAGCTGCTTGGCGATTGTTGATAGCCGATTACTCGACTTGGGCAATATGTGATGGTATCGGGTCGTGACGACAATTAGGTCATCTTTAAGACAAACACTGAGCTGAGCTGATTGCATCATTGAATATTATATAGAGCGAACAAATAGAGGTAGATAGAGCGGAGGATAGAGAGGAGGGAAAGGGTGCGTTTCAAGTGTCTCTGATTAGAAGATCAGATACCTATAATACGAGCAACTGATGGGAGTATTTTATTTTAGGACCTATTACGAAATATTTAGAAACTTTCCTAATATTTGAATAATATAATTGAAAATCTCAGTTGGCTTGTGAATGGAGGAATTCATTAATTTCCAGAGCAATATCAGAGTTTATATTCAATGATATTTTATTCATTTTCCTTCATAAATTGGGTAAAGTTGTGGAAAAATTCTTGTATTATTTTTGTTTATATCTATTCTATTGATGCTGTGCTCCTCTATAAAAAATATATAATATGAAGTCAGTATGGAATTTCGTTAGTCGAGTATTAAAAATTGCGAAATTAGGTGGAAAATTGACAGAATCCTCAGACCCGCAGAAAGATCCAAAAGATAATGCCTAAAGAACAACAAATCGGTGAAAATTATCTCAATTTGAGAAAAGTTAAATGTATTAACATCCAATTTATTTCTTAAAATTAAAATTAATCAGTTTTGAAATCTTTAAACTATTTATTATTTAGAGTTATTTAACATTTAGAGTAGCTAACTCACCTTCTATTATAAATTTTTATATATTTAAATTTTAAATATTTGATTTCTCTGCTGTGATCTTTGGACGCCTTTTGCAATCTTGATGGTTTATTTATTTATTTATTTTGTGTTAAGGTATTTAATAATTCAAAGCACACTATCCAAGAGAAGTTGCCGACGGTCTTTGCACAGAAGCCCTGCTCCAATTGTTGTCAAGTCCACGGCTAAGCAGCACTCCAACTAGATTTTATATTGCATTTAATCACGTAACAAGATCTTAAATTTCGGCTATTGTTAAGGCACTTTTCCGTACACTCACACATACGCACACATACACACACAAGCATGCAGGCACACACGTAGAAGAACTGCGGCTGAAACACACTCGGGTTAAGCGCGACGACGGCTTCTGATGACCGGGCTCCGTCAGTGCCGCAAGCGAACTACACAAAGAGCAGGCGGCTGGCAGTGAGGCCGGTACCGAAAAATAATTCAGGTGGGCCGCAGACGCCAACAACCGGTTGTCGTGCTTATGGAGCAGTCGCTGCCAGCTGCTGGCACATGTGCTGAAGCGAGAGAGCGCGATGCACGATCGTCGCAGGCGAGATCGCAATGAACGATCGATTGCTGAGGCAGGTGTCGGGCTGGCAGGTGAGCAGCGCAACAGCGCTCCGCCTCGCTCACTCGCTACTTCGCACACTCTCTCTCACTCGCACTGCACTAGTGCAGAGTGCGGGCGAGCGAGAGAGCGCATGCTGCTGTAGCTGCCAATGAGCATTGACCTATGAGAGCAGCCGGCTCTCTGTCGCTCAAATAATGGCGGCTAACCGGCCGCTGCCGGCTTTGTAATGATGTAAAGCTCGCTCTTCAACCCTACCTCTCTTGCTCTCTATTCCTCTCTCTCTCTCTCTCTCTCTCTCTCTCTCTCCCATTCTTTGTGTATGTGTGTGTGGAGTGGCACGTAATTGAATAAGTCTCGCACAAAGTGCAATAAATTTGATTAGCAAAATGGAAATTTATTTCCCTGACTTTTGTTTGCTTTCGCATACGTTTTCCATCGATGCATTCGCCTGGCTTTGCTGCTTTTTTCTTTCTTTTCGCTTGGCTTTGTTGTTGCGGCTCATAAATTAAATAATTTAGCTATCACGCATATGCTGAGARTTGCTGTTGTTGTTGTGTTGGATAGTGTTAAGGGCCTCGTAAATGACTTTGTTGGTTTATTGAATCCAACTGCGAGACGACTGTCAAGAGCCTTAATTGCTTGATATGGTTAGGCGTTAGAGTTAGAGTGAGACGAAACGGAAGGGAGCACGATGGGAGGGTGCTAAAAGAATAGTATATACATATACACTTATTCAGCTTCATATAGGTAATTTTTCTCTTAGCACCCTCCCATCATTCTCCCTTCCCATAAAAACAAGCATGTATATATTATAAATGGTAATTGAGTTATTCCAGTTAACAATGTAAAGAAGATGCATAATTCGTGCGATATTTAACATTTGCTTATTATCTTTGATCTTAAATGATTTTATATTCAATTATTAGTTTAGAATTGTTACTCTAATTATAGGTCTTATCTTAGATTACTCTAATGAAAAATTTATTATTTTCAGATCAACTCTTTACTTTTAAAATTTTTTCCTCAAGCCAAAATTGGTTTGTCTTTATCCCTGTTAGCTATACTTTCCACTCAAAGTCAGTGAACTGTCTTTAACTTTGTTTAACGTTTATGTTATATGTAAGTGCTTCATAAGAAAGCCTTCTACGTATAAATTGAATTCAATTTACTAGAGTTATAAATAGGCCTTCCTCTCGTATGATTATTTTTTTGCTAACCATTTGTAAGCATTCCATGCCAAGCTAACTACTTCATTAAACCTCGTCCCAGCTTCAGGCACAGTCAGCTCCATTTAACTGCAGAGTCCCTCCTCATCCGCCTGCACCCCGACTGTCCCTGCTCTAGCTGCAGTCGTATGGCCCGGCAATAAATAAAGTGTTAATGGCAATTGCATACAAATAGTTTGGTGTTGCCATTATATGGACATTATAGGTATAATACCATTGTCGGGGGCCCATAACAAGAAGTAAACAATGCGACGCAGCAGTCGCTGCACTTTGAGCCAATTTCACGCTTCATTTACAGGCGAAATGCAAACAAAAGGCCAGCCGACTAGTCGACCATTCCGGCCGGGTCCGAACTTAAGTTCGGGTTCAATGTACAGCAGGTCGTCTGGGGACGCTATCTGAGAGTCGCTCGGCTAGCGGTACGGCTTTCACGTCCCCATGTGGCCGTGTCAATCAGCTCGTCGCGCAAGGTGTGCGCTCATTTTGGAGTAGCTGCCCAGACGCTGCATACCCTGGTCCCTGGACTCTGGTCACTGGTCTCTGGTCAGTCCATATGCTCAGTCCGCGTCAGAGTTGCGCATGCGCGCACGTCCTAATGTAATTATTATCTCAACAATTGAATTTCCGGTCTCGGTCTCGGTCTCTGTCTCTGCCTCTGTCTCTGGGTCTGAGGCCATCGGTCTCTCCCGTTTCGTCTTCGGCCTGGGACAGATGTCGCGCAAAACGTTACAAATGTGCACTTAATTGCGCAATTAAATAATTTTATTTCTGCTGCGCGTTTTCCTTGCCTTTTCCCCAGCTTTCCTCAGCGTCTCTCGCCAGGCACATGAAGTGCCCGTTGAATGTTGAGAGACGGTCCTCCGAGCCAAACAAATTGCAGCTCTGTGCATCCATCCACTCCACACACTATGTTATATATATGTCAGTGTGTGTGTGTTATCGCTTTTTCGAGTCGTCCTCTTCATTACAGTGCTATAAATTCAACTGCCAGATGAAATGATGCCAAATAGATCATAGATTCAATATGCCATTCCATGTCGGTATTAAGACATTCATTAAATTTGATAAAAGCTTTTTTAAAGTCTTACTTCTATATTAACTTGATTTATAAAAGTCCTATACATTTTTAGCAAAAAATAAAAAGATTAGACAACAGTTATTATAGGTTCAATTTATTTAGAATATATTAAGAATAGGGAAGAACCACTTCTAAGAATTATGCAGTAAAAAGTATAAAAAGAAACTCAGATGGATTTATCTTACGAATTGAGACAGTAATAGAGCCTAATGTCTGCTAAGATGCTTGACCAATGACAGTCCAGGTTCATCTATGACTTTTCACTATGAAGTTAAAATATATTTCATTCATTCCTTATAGTTTAAGCTATATTTACTCCAAATAAGTTATTTTACTTGTCTCCCACTCTCTGCCTAATATAATAGAGCCTAGTCCCTATGCTGATTATTACTTATACAATTTACTTAGAGCTATCTTAATTTAGACATGCCTTATCTCAATTGCGTATTAAAGACTTTCACGCTGGAAATTTCTGCTTTCTTTGGCTCTGTGATTGCCCGAGGGTGGGTTAATTATGCGAGCGAGCGAGGCGTTCGACATAATCTCAGTCTAACCTACATAGGTAACCACCCACTATAGCCCCCATCTTGCGTTTTCTAACACCCGTGCTCACCAGCTTGGCTATCATTGCGTTGGTTCACAGAGGTAAAAAAAAAATATATATA